GTGCGTCATCCATACATTCAAACAGACAAACGATATCATCGGCGTATTCCAAATCACAGCTTTTCTCCAGCTGCCAATTCAATACCTACATTTTGGAGACCGCTGGGTGCGTTCTACGGTATTTCGTCTACGGCGAAATTAAACAGGAACGGCGAAAGAGGGCACCCTTGACGAACATCCAAATTAGTTCGTAGTAAACCCTTACACGACCGGAGGTATGTGAGTACAGTGACCTGAGTAGGTTAACGTACTTCGGGGGTATTCCTTTTAGAAGAAGGAAGCCCATTAGATCTTCGCGACCAACTGAGTCGAAGGCTTCTGTCAGGTCAAGGACCACTGCGATTGTTCGCCGACGGTACGTGTGACTCAGCTGAGTGACCCGACGCAACATAAAGATTTGGTCAATCCATCCATGACTTGCTATTCACGGATGTTGATCTCTCTTCAAGGCGTCAGACGTTGAAGTATAACCGAAGCTAGCACTTTGGTGACGATCGGAATCAAACTGATCCCGCGGTGGTCTTCGCAATCGTTGTGAGATCCTTTCTTGAAAATGGGAACGATCAGTGACTCGCCCCAAGGTGGAGTGTTCTTGCGTCCAAATGTTGCGCAATATAGTAGTACTACTTGTAGTATTACAGCTTAAGAGGTTATCATCCCCATCTTGAAAAGAGTGTGAGGGCGTTCATTCTTTTCTGGTGCTCTTTCTCGCTTCAGAGATTGAATGTTAAACCAAACTTCTGTTCCCGTTGGAGGATCACATGACACTGCCCACGGGGCTTCAGTAAGAGATGAAGCACTAGGCCAGCTGAATTGTTCACTGAAGATTCTGCCCAATGATCGAGTCGTTAATTCCAATAACTCGTCCCCTCTCATCGCAGACTGTTCCACTAAGTGCAGTTCGCTGATCTCCCGTATTGCGTATCAATTGGAACAGTCTTTGGCCATTCCGATGCAGCTGCTACTTCCATTTCACTAGCTATTTTTGCCCACCAGTTCTCATGGTCCTTCTTGAAGCTCTTCGTGAGCTGGCGTTATAGGCGCCGCCTAACTCTATTTTGATCCTGGCAGGTCGGGATTTGTCGTTTTTTCTTCATCAAAACTACTGACTCCTGAGATATCTAATGCCTCCGCGGGAGTTGAGGCTCAGACCCACAAACAACATTCGCTGCGGAGTGCATTGCTCGTCTAATCTGATCCCATTGCTCACCTACATCACCATGTTGAGTTGCGCTTGACTAACGCACTAGCTCTGATTCATAGCGTACACGAACTGCTGGAACTGAAAGTTGATGATAACGTTTACGAGTTTGCTGAATTTGTCGCCGGCCAGTCGAAGAGTGAACAGCATCAATACTAATGCACGGTTAGATTCCACGCAGGTGTTCTTATAGGACCTACAATTTGGCACTGAGCCACGCCAACGGTAACTTACTGCTATATGGTCGATTTTAGTTAGCGTACCAGTTGAACTGGAGCGCCACGTTGCCGTCCGTCGAGAGCTGTGTCCGCAGTTGGTGCTGGATAGGAACAGATGGTCTGCGCAGAACTGGATAAATGGATCGCCGTTATCCGTTCGTTGGCCGGGCAGAGCACAACTACCGCCTAGGCAAGCTTCTGATGCGCTGTTTTCCAACCTGTGCATTGAAGTCACCTGCAAGTACAACTATGAGGGAGCTTCGACTCATCCGAATGAGATCGGTGAGTTCATCGTAGAAAGCCTCCATTTGGGTATCATAACTGGAATTGGTCGGTGCATATGCTGATACGATAAACAAACACCTGGTGTTGCTTCCCCTACGGACGCTGATTGAACCCTGGAGACACTGCACATAAACGACTGCTGGCGGGGATCCGATCGATAAGAGAGGACTTCGCCATATTGCTAAGTATGATACCTACCCCGCGCTGACCTACTGAGCGGGCTTCGTCGTCGCCTGATATGCGAAGAAAGTATCTGGAAGACAAATCTGGTGCGCTCAAGTGGTTCATGGTAAAAGGATCCTGGATTCGAGTTTCCGACACAGCAAATATCGATCCCCAAGGATTCCATTGTACTCGTCAGACAAACTTGTTGACTTAGTTGCATCAGTGTGCTCACGTTGAAGGCCCCCAGATCAAGTGATTGACGAGGCTCTAGAGTCTACAATCCATTGGGTCGTACATTACAGATCTATTTGACAACGACCTTTGGCAAGCGACATCCAAATTGCCTGAGGGACCATTGCAGGTCGGAACAAGGGAAGGGAGAGGGTTGGGTACGGAAGACAAGAGTTAAACAAAGGTAGGGATATTTGAGTAGTTGTCTACTTATCACTACCCACCCTGATCGATGCAATGGGAGTGCGGTCCTGATTATTCTGCGCGACGACCGATGCAGTATGAAATTATTTTCACTTTGTGTATGCATTGTTTGATGGATGGGTACTACTAGGATGTCCAGCCACTAAGCAGGAGAGCGACTGGGGTTCTCGTCCAAAGCTTTTAGTACTAACAAGAACCTAATCGCAAGGCAGCGGGTGAGACGAAGTGGAGACACATTTTGTTGGATCGATTACTCCGCCACCGCTTTTTACCGACTAAAACGCCAATTTTAGTCGAAGCCCCAACCTGGTGGACCAGGAGACTGAACTTCGTCTGACCTCCACTCATCGACCTTTCCAGACATGATAAAGCCATCCTGTAGAGCTCGTTGGGTCACAGAGGTGCAGAAGCCATCACACCAAGTCAAGGTGTAGTCTCGTCGTTATGGGGGATGTGTACTACTGATGAGCTCCAATAAGAGCGAGTCTAGTGCTTCCGAGTGTATGGCTGAATTGATGAACTGAGGATTGTGTGAAGGTGAAGTCCGAAGTATAGTCAGCTCAAATCAACAATCAAGTATCCCACACCACTCTACACAAGTAACTGTGAGTCAAATGCGTAGTAAATATTGACAAATCTTTGGTGGAATTATTGCGTGTGGGACATTTCAAGATAAAGTGGTCCTTGAAAACGGAGTTAGGGGTATCATGTTTTTCAATTAAGGCGATGTTCACCAACTCACCTGAAATATGTTCATATTGGAATAAGGAGGACCATGGTTGTAATGTGATACTTTGGCCGATGTACAAGGTGCAGCTTCAGGGTTAACGCGTTTGCACGTGAAAGGATCAGACACCATCTCCAGGAAAGTTACCTTCCATATGGATAACCTACACAGCCTTATCAGTAAACTGAATCACTCAATCAAACTCCAACTCTACGCTCTGTCCCGAATCTCCCTCAGCAGATCAAGTGTATAAATGTACAATCAAGCGATTCATTCTCGTATCATCTCTCAAACTTTCTTGATTACTGTTAATTTTAGGGGCCCACTGCTGCGGTCGAATACTCAGTGCAATCATAATGAAGCAGGTCGAAATTATGCGAACGGAGCAGTGACTGTATGCTTTCATTCAAGTGACCTAAAGGATTCCACGTACCTCTTCACCCAGATCACATCTTTATCAACAGCCTCTGGTGGGGATTCATTCAAGATTTTCGCTCTTACCAGTAGACAGGGATCATCTGGTAAAAGCCAGATTCTGCCTGGTAACCGCAGCAAAGCTACTGGAGACATTTACCCAACACCAATATGAACCGGAATACACAACATTCATTTAAGATATCCAAATGGCGGTTTCGGCCGCATGATCGAAGCAAGGCTTTTACCAACCTGTGACAACTGTAACGGCCCTTAAGGGAAGAGTTTACATCGCCGTGTTTCGTAGTGATCTGCCTTCCGGTTGTGAGACTTGGCTCCTTAGCGTTACAGATGCCTATTGACTCGCTGTCTCTAAAGGATTGCTCAGGGGGCAGTCTCGTCGTGACTTACTTACTAAACCAATCGCGCGGTAATCACCCTTGTTTTCGGCTCACGATTACCGGCGCACATGGGTGCAATTAAATGCTAGGAGCTGCAGCGGTAGAATAAGTCGAGCGACGCCGTAAGTTTCAGAGCAACGTGAACGATTTATGCCCCAAGTTTCATTTGGGCATAAACGCGGTCGACAAACGATTGGTATTACACTT